CCCCAAAACCCCAAAACCCCAAAACCCCAAAACCCCAGGGGGAAAACATAAGTGTGAAACTATATTATTTTAATTTTTAATGGAGTGATGAAGGTAAAAATCACCAAGATTCAAAGTCAATAAGACCTAGAAGAGATTTCAGCTTCAACTCACTGAATTCTTTTTGTTCAGATAAGGCTTTATCTTCTCCTAGGAATTTTAAGAATTCTTCTTTAGAATCACTATTTAAGTCAAAGTGTTTGGTGGTATACTTAAAATCAGAATATCTCTTCATTAAGCTAAATACCACCCAAACATTGAGACTTAAATGCTCTGGAGTAGTGCTAATCCCATCTATAACAAACAATGATACTAAATCTCCTCGATGGCTACACTCACATTATAGTTATGAATTGCTAAAAATAAGGTAGAGTCTGTCACACGAATTCAGATGTATTGCCACTATACTATGGGGCTAAAGCCACTGCACTGTCTTCCTGATGTAATTACACCCCTGATTATTTTATAATAAGTCACCATTCGTTAGGAGATCTTTCATAAAAATTAAAGTTTTTAGATGAAATGTGCTTAAATAATGAAGAAAATAGACAGTTTTAGGAGAAAGAAGCCAACTAAAAAATAGGCTGATTAGCTTAGATAATTGGTTATTTAAGGAACCTGACTATTATTATAAATTGTTGTGGAGCTTGAAGCAAGTTTACCTCAAGGATGTAACCATCCGTCTCCGAATCCAGTCAGATTTCATTATTTTAATTAAAAGCAATTTTAGATTAAAAACAATGAGTTCACGAGACTCAGTAATAATATTTGAGAAGTTACAACAGAAGAAGGAAGAGTGCCTTACTTTTCTTTAAACGAGATATCCCTCCATTTTCTCTAAACACCGCTGACACAAGTTGTACCATCTTCTCTTCATCCATCGCTCTAACTTTCCCTATAACTCTTATTCCTTTCCTTCATAATTCACTTACCAGCTATAGTTCCTTCCTCATAGATCCCAAGTTCCTTCAGTATTTTAAGTGTGTGCGAGTGGCCGTAGGTTAGAGCTCGAGTGTAGATGGAGTGAAGGATAGGGTAAGCGGCCCGGATATCAGCTGCGAGATCTTGGGGAATGTGATAGGGTGGCTATGAGGGCAGTAGTGAGAAGGGAAAAGGAAGGAGAGAGGACGAGGAATGGTGTGGGAAGGGGTGTCCCAGCTGGTATGAGTTGAGATTTATTAGTTTTTAGTGGGGTTTAGTGGATTTTGGCATTTTGGTAAATTTAAAAACATTATGCAAAGATCGATATCTATTTTAGGTGATTTTTTTTAATTTTAATGCAAAAAAAGTTCGCATAATAATTGAGGTTGTAGAAGGTGTAGATAATTTATACTATTTTATTATCAACTTGTTTAACCGAACAATCAAAAATTCAATGGAAAGTTCTGTTTCATCAGCATATTCTCTATAATAGAACTTTGTACTAAATTCCAAAGCTCTTACCACCCTATTTATGGTGTCATTTCAAAGAAATACAATGCTAGCACTTACATCATCAACGTTTCTTAAAAACTCTCGCACCTCTTCATCTTCAAAAAGATTTAAATTGGTTTTTGTATTCTCTGGAAAATAACTTCACTTCACTGCTCTTCACTGTCGGTTGGCAATTCTATTTCATTTTTGTGTGATCACCGGGCTCCTTCACTTCCAAAGGTATATTCTCTTCAGACATTTCCTTGTCTTCTTCTTCGGAAGGATTACCATGGTCTTGGAAAGGAAGCTCTCCTTTTCTGAATGGATTAACCAGAATTTTAGCATCGAGGAAATTGAATTCTACAATATCGGAATTTGAATGGATAAAAAGTTTGCTAAAAGATCGAAAATGTTTACTAGGGGTAAAACTGCATTGTTTATGGTAAGCCAAGGCTACAAGAAGAGGAATTAAGTATCCATTCGTGGTTATAAGTAAATCTAATGGGTTATAATATCAGAGAGCTTGTTTAGATCATTACTTTAACACTGCAGTTGGCTGAGCTGTATCACCCAAAAGATATGATATGTCATTGAGCCCACTGTCATTTTTGTCAAGCTCACTTCCATAATTCTTGTCTGTGCTGATAGTGTCTTCATTAGTATTGTCGCCAGAAATGCCTTGCGCAGTACATATATCTTCATCATGTTTATCTTTATTTTATCTGAGGTCGACTTTTGTCAGCTTTACTTTCTCCCTTATACGAGACTTCGTCGTCATTTGAAGGATCATTAGCTTCTTCTTGACTCATTTCTATCATTAAGGATTCCATATGAACATCTTCGTTATGGTTAGAGTCAGTTTTATAGTTTTCTGAGTCGGAGATATTCGAGTCATTACCATCCGCATTAGGAGGATCACTATTATCAGAAATAAAATACTTTGTAGTTCCGTCTATTATCTCCTGACCGTCCATTGTTATATATTATATTTTTCAGCAAAATATGAGTTATATGGGGTTTTGGGGTTTTGGGGTTTTGGGG